CTTGATATGGTTCCGCAGTCACAGATTATACAACTATTATCAGCCTGCTAACCAATGAGAGCCATTCTTGGTACACAGGGGTCTGAGTGAGAGCACCTATGTGACTATCCTTTTATAACTAGATGTGTTGACCCTTAACATTATTCTCATATTTCAAGTACTGTTTATTTTAAAATGGCAAGGGAAAGTGTGTGGGCTAATAAAACTTACAAACTTAAAAAACTTATTCTAGTTTATTATATTTCTCATTATCTAAAGCCATAATGTCCCCAGATTAATACCAAGTGATTAATATTCATCTCTGATAAGGGCTCTGGAAAAGCTTCTCCTATATGCAGTTGATATAACTTATTTTTTTTTTATGATTTAAGCTATTATTTAAAATTCCAAATAGAAAAATGCATTTTAAAGGAAAAATTGTAGTTTTTTTCCAAAAAGTTTCAATTGCTTTATACAATAGTCTCACATATTTTCTTCAGTTCAGATATATTACTTGGATTATTTTTTCAGATAAAGTTATTAGTGTGTCTGAAAACAGACTAATCCAGTTATTTTAACTACAATGACACAAAGAAATATATATTTAAGATTAATCTTCAATTCAACTGTCTAATCATGAACATTTGGGAAATATTTTTGTTATGATGAATGAGGAAAATAGCTATTCAAGATAGGTGGTTTAATTAAATTCAAGAAGCAACTTATAGACTCACAATAAAGTTATAAATTATTATAAAAATCATGTATATTTATGAATTTCTGTACAGTATAAATGTGTATATGCTAAAGAAAAGTAGCATATTTTGACCAACTTAATAAAAATTATAAAGTTATTGGTTTATATAGCTTATTCATCTTCATCTTTAAATCAACAATTCAAGAAAGTACTAAACAATCAAGGTCAGTAGGCAAGACATTTGAAAAAATAACTGAATATGAAGTATGTGCTCAGTATATTACTAGTTAATATTGACAAGAAAATAAAAATATAGATAATATGTACAATGTGTCAGATGATGTTAAATGTCATGGAGAATATAAGGCAGAGAAGGGCAGCAGAGATCCAGGGATGTGACAGAAGCTTTGAGTCTAGTGGTCAGGGAAGCAGTAGAGCCATATTTAAAAGATGGGGAAGATTTTAAGAGGAAGACACTGTCAGCACAGACACAGATTCAGAAAGACCTGTCCTTCACACAGGTAAGATTCATTTGCAGTTAAACATGCTTGTGTGCCTTACAAGTAAGCAATCGATGGGAGAGGGATTCGAAGTCATCTCAAGGTGTCGTAAACCACACCTGGCCTCATAATGGTGTTCTTTGTAAATTAGTCTATTTTCTTGTGCTAGAATATGAATTAAATAAATCAAGGGACTCATGAGATGGATCAGGAGTAAACTTGCAATAAATTTCATTAAATTAAAAAAAATTGCTTATCCACTATTTCAGCAAATTCTTACTTTTAATAATTTATTCTAAAGATATGCTTACATACCTATGCAAATAAGTATTTATAAGGAAACCCATCATGACATTATTTGCAATAGGAAAGGTTTGGAAACAATCAAAATTTGGAAGAATTTGGAAACCATTACATTAAATATACTATTGCATGTTCATAGAGTGGAATATACACAGCAATTATAAAGAACGAAGCAACCCTTACTCTAAGTAGCAATACAGAATAGTATCTGTGATGAATTGTTAAATGGAAAAAGCAAAGTGCAGAAGAAGGAGTATAACTGGTTATCACTTGTGTTTAAAAATTATTCATACATAAGATAATATGCATTTGTATATATAGACTGTCTTTGAAGGAATATTGTTAACTCTGGTCACAATGTGGTGGCTGGAGGGACACTTCCTTTTCACAAGACACTCCCATTTACCACTTGAATTTTGTTTAAGTGTATGTATTATCTGTTAAACATTGTTTTTTTAAGGAAGTCAATATCACTGTAAATATTAGTTTAGGGCCAAGAATCTCTGTGTTTAAAATGTACAATTATTATGATTGAATTAAAAAATGTTTTACTTGAAATTAGAGTATCTTTCCTTCCTCCATGTTGTGCATTAGATACTTAAACTTTATTTATCTTATAGCTGAATGTTTATGCCCTTTTACCAACCTCTCTCCTTTTTCCCCTTCCCAACCCCCTGCCCTTGGAAACCACTTTTTTACCCTATATTTCTATGAGTTTACTTTTTTTTTTTTAAAGTGCTATACATAAGTGATAGCATGGAGTATATTTCTTTCTGCGTCTGGTTTATTTCACTTAGCATAATACCCCCAAGGTCCATCTATGTTGTCACAAATGGCAGGATTTCTTTCTTTCTTATGGCTGAATAATATTGCACTCTCTGTGTGTATACATACCACATTTTCTTTGTCCATTTATTCATCAGTAGATACTTAGGTGGCTTTCGTCTTGGTTATTGAGAATAATGCTGCAAAGAACATAGGAATACAAATATCTCTTCGAGATTCTGTTTTCATTTCCTTTAAATATATACCCAGAAGTGGAATTGCTGGATTATATGGTAGTTCTATTTTTAATTTGTTTGAAGAACCTCTATATTGTTTTTTATAGTGGCTGAACCAATTTGCATTTCCACCAACAGTGCACAACAGGTTGCTTTTCTCCACATTCTCACCCAACACTTGTTATCTCTGATCAAGGGACTTATACCCTATATTTTATTCTAAGAGTTTTGTTTTCAGGTCTTATGTTAAAGTCTTTAACCCATTTTGAATTGTTTTGTGTGTGTGTGTGTGTGTGTGTGTGTGTGTGTGTGTGGTGTAAGGTAGGGATCACTGTCATTCTTTTACATGTGGCTATTCAGTTTTCCCAACATAATTTCCCAACACAGGGAGAAGACTTTCCTTTCCCCATTGTACTTTTTTTTTTGTCTCTTTTGTCATAAATTAATTGATCATATATGTGTGGGTTTATTTCTGGGCTCTCTATTTTATTCCATTGATCCATGTGTTTTAAATTAGAACATTTTAAGTTAAAAATTAACAAACGTTTATTGTGCAACTGGCAGGCACTGCAAGGATTTTTTTTTTAGTCACTAGAGAGTCAGAAAAATTCATATTCTTTGTTCCTCTCAAAGATGGCATAATTTGACAAATGAGAGAGTGCCATAAATTATTTAGGGTTAATATGCAATCTCTAAAATACCTAGTAAAGTGCATAACGAATAGTTAGAGGTTTATAGATATGAATTCACTAACAACTCTGCCCCTTATTATATGTGATTTTAGGCAAATTAATTAATTAAGCTCTAGTTTTTCATTTATTAAATGGGGCTATAGTAATAGTAATTCGGAGCATCTTATGATGGTTAAATGATATTTAATGTGTGTAAATTACTTAGCATAGTGCTTGCCATTAAATACAGTGCAATAAATGTTAGCTATTTTTATTAATCACTTTCCTTTGCTTGTACCTTTTCTTTTCAAACCAGGGGGAAAAAAAATCTCTAAAAACAAAAGTGCTATCATCAATGCTGTAGTAGTAGTAGCAGTTTGAGATAGAAAGCTAATGGAGAATGAATAGAGAAAGACTGGAGATAACTAAGCTGGGCCTAGCAAGTGGGATTTCAGCAAGTGGAGAAATGGGGGGAGCATTGTAGGCAGAGGGGCAAAATGACAAAGGCATAGAGGTGGATTCAGGGTGTGTTTTGGAAATGAAGGGGAGGAGGCTAGTTTGACTCAAGTGCATGGTGATCTAGGGGTCTGCTTAGAAGAAATATGGATAAAAGGTGAGGAAACTGAATAAGCAATGGTTTGTCATGGAGATTCTTACAGGCCATGCTTAAGAGTTGGAGATTATCTTTCAGTGGTAGAGGTGGGAATAAGATAGCAGAAGACTGAAGAGAGTGTGGGGCAGGAGGAAGTGGGAATATGAAGGGTGAGGAGGAGAAACAGGGACAGGTTAGTACTTGAGAGGGCCAGAGGGTCAAGGGAGAAAATGGAGATACCAGATACCAGATTGGTGTGGAGGGTCCTAATGAATTAATAGAACAAGTAAAGGCAGCAGGGGACAAAATCCAGATGTGGAGTTAGCTTTCTAAAGGGATAAAGATCCTTTTCTGAGACAGGCAGAAAAGCTGAAAAGTTGATGAAGATGTGGATGAGGTGGGTTGTGGAGGATAAGGAGGTGAAAAGGCTTCATGCCTGTCGGCCCTTATTTCTTTAAGTTCGGAGGGAAGTGATCTACTGAGACTGAGTGTGTCCCTGGAGTGGGATTTTAGGGTTTAAGATGAGAAGTAGGAATTTGGATTATTCACTATAGGAAATCTAAGAAATAATTGACTTGGGAGGGGAAGAGGTTGGGCTGATGCCAAAGAGAGGATACTGCGGGGCCATGAGGTTCTCGCTAACAGCAGCTCGGACCCTGGAAGCAAAGGATGGGGAAAGAAGACCAAACCACCCAGATGCAAGGAATTCAGGAGCTGAGGGCACTGGGAGGAGGGGGGCCGATGGAAGGGGAAAGAAGTAAAATCAAGAAAAAGTTATGGAGTCAGTCTTAAGATGTTAGGATCGGGTCAAGCATCCACTGGGGGCCTATATTCAGGAAGCAGGTGAAATGAAGGTAAGTGAGGAGAGATGACAAGACATAGGACGTGTGGCTGGAGGTGGAACTTCAGGGTTCAAGATTTTATAGGAGTATTTTATTTCTATTTTACAGAAAGCATCATTTTAAAAAGTTGCCTTGAAATTCTCATATCAGTCCAACAGTTACTGCGTTGGCACAGATCATGAGCAAGGCTTAAGAGAAAGTTTTCTTGAGAGCTTTGTTAAGGCCACACAATATTAATAGAGAATGAGCCCAGAGTGTTTACATAAGTGGAAAAAAAGCAAGATTTTAACACAGGCACAACAGGTCTCAGCTAGTTCCCTGGAAATCTGTAGTTTTTCCTCAATAGAAAATATAAAATAAAATAAAGACAGAAACCAACATAATCTCAGTGATTTGTGTTTCTTTGCTTTTAAAGGTAAAACCAGTAATCCACAGCAGGATCAATGTGTCAGCTCGATTTAGAAAGCCGCTTCAGGAACCCTGCACTATCTTGTAAGTTGAAGCCCTTTATAGCTCAAGTTGAAGTTGGCGGGTGGTTTTCTTTTGCTTTAGAGCCTGCTTTGTAGTTTTAAAGGTATTACTGTTTCAAATGGTGTGGCTCACTGGCTTTGCTTTCTGTCCAGCTTGATTGCAAATGGAGACCTCATAAAACCAGCTTCGCGCCTCCTCATCCCTAGAAAAGCCTTGAATCAGTGGGATCATGTGCTACAAATGGTCACGGAAAAAATAACTCTGAGGAGTGGGGCTGTCCACAGGTATGTCAAAGTAATCTTGTAAGTGATTGGATAGGTTTCAGAATTGTTGAAGATATTCTCAGGACTTTCTGAAAGCTGCTGGTTTAAATATGAATTTTGGCTCACCAGTTAAGCTCTATACATCTCAGTTTCTTTGTCTGTAAAATGGCTATATAATAGTACTTGCTTTACAGGGTTTTAAGAAATAAGATAATCCACATAAAGAGTTTAAAATAGTCATTGGCATATAGTAGCCCATCAACAAATTTTTATTCTTTTGGTTTAAAGCTAATAAGCAACATTTTTTTAGTTGAGAAGGACTTTTTTTTTTAAGCAAACCAGCTTCTTGACTCTTAATTAACTGTCCTTTTTTTCAAGAGACATTTATAATTCTTTGGTGGTCCACATTATTTGCCTAGCATAAAATAAACATCAGGGCTTAAGAAAGAGGTGGGTTAGAGAGTCTAATTAAATGGAGTTGCCTAAACTTGAGAAATCAAAAGCATTTTTATTGAGTTCTGAAATTTAAGTGAAGATTAAAATCATGACTTTTAAATTGTGAAGCCCATGAAATTACCCCTTGATGGAGGCTGACTTATTTATATTCTTATAGGTAGGAAGGTTATAAATAATATATACAAGTACAGACCATATTAAGAATATATGTATATTCGTAATAATTCATATATATAATTCATATGTATATACGAGACACAAATATTTGAAATCTAATCAAGAGTTTTCTGGTAGTTCTTAAATTCTGTCTTAACCTCAGTCTCTCTAACATACTCCACTTGTAGAATACACTCCTGCTTTCAAGATCTTATGTATGTTTTCATATCTATATGTCTATTTATGGGCATATGAAAACATAAATTCTTAAATGATTGCATATTATGTCTTTCAGTTAAATATGTATATAGATCAATGCATGTGTATTTACATATATTAGTATATATACTTTCACAGCCATTTGAATTTTAAATATAATTAGGTATATATATATATATGAATATATATTTACTACATAGATATATAAATGCAATTTACTACATAGATATATAAATGTAAATACTTCGCATACGGTAAAAAAAAATTTTAAACAAGACTGAAGATATAAATAAAAACTATTTCTCCTACCTCTGGCTCCTCAGTCCCTCTCTCCAGTATTCCTCTGCATTATTCCAGAATATTCCATGCATATGGAAGCACATGCATCTTTTATTTCTTTAGAACACAAACGGGAACACACATACACATGAATAAATAAATATATAAATGTACCTTACTTTTTTCCTATAACAACAAATCTTGGAGATTTTTCTTATTAGCACAAATATCTCTATTCAATTATTTTTAATGACTACAAAATATTCCATTTTATGGTTGTGCCCTAATTTAACAGTTTTTTCTTGATGAAAATTTAGGTCATCTCCAATCTTTTGCTATTATGTGTTCATGTTTTTGTATATAAGTAGAGTTTGTCAGGAGGCTAAAGTCTAGAAGTGCAATTGTTGTGTCTAGTGCATTTTAAATTTTGATAGATACTGCCGAATGCCTTCCAGAGTTTGTATTAACTTGCACTCTTACCCAAAGTGCTTGAGAGAGCTTTTTTTAAATACCGTCATTTATGCTATAAAACTAACAAATGTCTTATCTTTTCATTTATGTTGGATAAAAATAGTTTTTCCTTGCTTCTTGCTTTTTATATTTTTAACTACGACTGTTGAGCATTTCTTAGGTGCAAGGTGTTATTCCAAGTGTTTTACATTTTTAACTTAACTAACTCAGCAACCCTATGAGATATAAGTCGTGTTATTCTCTTATAATAGACATGAAACATGAGACATAGAGGGGGAAAGTTACTTGCCCAAGATTATGCAGGGAGTGGCTAGCAGGGCTGAAATTCAAGCCTCGTTTGTCTGCAGTATGGCTCCAGAGCATGTGCTCTTAGTTACTAAATTATTCTCTAAATAAATGCCACATATTTATCTTCTATTATAAATGAACTATCTGTCACAGCCTATGTATGTTTATCGTATTGATTTATAGACACTCTTTATGTATTAGAGAAGTTTGCCCTTCCTCATATGAGTTTTAGATATGTTTCCAGTTTGTATTTTTGATATTCTCTGTCTTTTTACATATAAATATGTTGAATTTTGATGCAGTTGAATTTTCAGTCTTGCCTTATGATCATTAAATTTTATGACTGGCTTAGATCTTCCTCACTCCAAGATTATAAAAATATTCTTCTATGTTTTCATCTTGTTCTTTTTAATTTCATTTAAACTTTTGATCCTTCTGGATTTTATTTTGGTGTCAGGAGAGACAGCAGATCTCAGTAGTTATATGTTGACTTTAAAGATATATAGTTGTGTCTTCTGGCATATACATAAATGTAAACCCACTCAATAAATAATATAAAACACACAAAGATATATACACATGATTGCATGCTCAGACACACCTATTCAAACATATATTGATAGGAACAAATTCATCATGAAAATAAAATTTATACAAGTACAAATACAGAAATGAAAATATTTATATGTCCCCTGAACACTTGAATACGTGGAGTATCTTAATTCTTAATGTGATGCCAGATATAAGTGAGCTTTGGTTGCTGTTCACTTGGGGCATTTTCCATTTTCCTTTAACAAAGCACTGCAGTCTTATGTTTGGATCCTCCCTGTACCTTAGGATATCTATATGTCAAAACCATCCCATAAAAAATGATTAAATTCCCTGTTTATGTTTTTTATGTTTTGTAGCAAAGGAAGAAAGCAGGTCAACAAGAGTCAGAGAAAGAAAGGCTAACATCATGGGCTAGAATTTATTCAGTACCCTTTACTTACTTGCAGAGGAAACAAGTAAAATCTTGGCTGTTTCCAGATCGACAGCTATGCTGCCTTTTAATTTCCAGCCATAAAAGTTAACTACTGATTCAGATCTTCCTATTTTGAAGAAACATGAAAGAAGAAGAATGTCTGGGTTTAGGCCATTGCTTCTCAACCGGAGTGGTTTTGCCCCTTGGGGACACTTGGCAGTGTCTGCAGTCATTCATTTCTGGTAGTCACAACTGAGGACGGGATGGCTGTGACTACCATCTAAATGGGCAGAGGCTAAGGATCCTGTTGTCCTGCAATTCACAGGACAGCCGTCCTTCCTCCCCAACAAAGAGCAGTCAAGCCCAAAATGTCAACAGTGTCGCTGTTCAGAAACCCTGGTTTAGGTCAAGGTAGGAAAACCCGAACTCTGTCTGGGTGAAGTGTTTACTGTTTAGACTTGTAGGGCTAAGAGTACACTGTTATAAAAGAAAAGACTTTAGCATCTTTACACTAACTCAACCTAAGCACATTCCAGGGATTTGAGTGGTCATTTTCTTTGTACTTCATGGCTCCATATGATATGGCCATTTATAGCATCAGTAAACAAGCAGACAGATCAATGGATGTCTTTTTCCTTTGTAGATGTCACTAACCTTTATTATATAAGACTGAGAATATTTTTAATTAGTATCTTGAAATCCTTCAAGTTAGTAATTCTTGTTTCTAGCCTTCAAAAATATTCATTGTCTTTCTGGTGTAGTTTTCTGAGAATCTGTTTTTTTTTTTTCCCTTCTTTAATAAAGTTTTGTGAACACTTTAAATCATCTAGAAAATTATCACTATTCTTTTAATAAGTAACATATTAATTGTAGTTTGCAGCAGCAGTTTTACAGTAAAGGGAGGTTCTTGTGAAATCCCTTGATGCTGGGAAGATGAGGGAAAGCCTCATCTTCAACAAAAAAAACACCACACACATGAATGCTATGCAGTTTGCTATGCTTCATTAATATTGGCAATGCTTTCCTTCACCTCCTGCTCTCTGCTTTCTTGTTTTCTGACCCAGTTCTGTGTGTTTGGATGTAATATTTTGGCTGAGGGCTGCTCTTACACAGAATGCTGTAAGAGGCTTATCTAACTGACAAATAAATTAAGAAAATAAAATCTAAAAGTACTCACAAAATAGAAATAGAACAATTCAATGTTACAGAAGCTGAACTTTATTTAAAGCACCGTATTCTGTACAAGTTAAATCTTTCCCTCTAAAATTTTAATGTGGCAGCCACAGGGGATGCTTATGTTAGATTGTCAGGTTTATTGGGATGAAACACTGTACAGCCAGATAGCAACTGTGCCTGCATTGTAACATTGGCATTTAGTTGAATCTAATGACTTTGGGATATTTATAATTCAATAATTAGGATAGTAACAGATGAGCCAAATTAGGAACAGAATGTTTTTATTTACTTTGTAATTTTAATCAGTTATTTTAATGCTTGTTAAAATGTTAATTGTTGGCATTCATATTTTGGCAGACTTTATACTTTAGAAGGAAAACTGGTTGAGAGTGGGGCAGAGTTGGAGAATGGGCAGTTTTATGTGGCTGTTGGCAGAGATAAGTTTAAGAAATTACCTTACAGTGAATTGCTTTTTGACAAGTCAACAGTGAGAAGGTCTTATGGGTAAGTTTTTATCCTTCTTTACTTCTCGTATTTTAGTTGTCATTTAAAATAGCATGGTCTTTTGCTGACCACTGGCATATTTTAAATAATCTCGTTTATCAGTTAGAATGGAAAGCATGTATGAGATATATTGATCTTTTTTTTTTTTTTTTGCCATGATTGGAGATTGAGAGCTATTGCACAGTAATTTTAGAGAAACTATGAAAGACTACATAGTTTTTTTTAATTTAACATTCACTTATGAATTTATAATAAATATAAAGCTATTGCACAGTAATTTTGGAGAAACTATGAAAGACTACATAGTTTTTTTTTTATTTAACATTCACTTATGAATTTATAATAAATATAAAAATTTACTCTAGTGAAGAAGGTACAGGGCAATGAGCTGCTATACAGCACACATTATTAGAGGTTTTGATAATGTCTTTAACTGTTTACCTAGACCAAATAATTTTTCACCTGGTATACATAAAAACATCTAAAAATGTTTTTTAAAAACATAATATTTTATACCTCTTTTAATAACAACTGTAAAACATAAAAACAATGTAATGTCACTTGTGCACAATAAGTAGAGTGACTGGGTTTATAGTTAATACATGCAAAATTTTAAAGATTACAATTTTAATTACACATAATGCACTGTGAACCATTTTTCTCTATTCGGTGTCATGTATTTGTGAAAAACGCCCTATTCCAGCCACATAGATGGACTGCAGAGGCATGCTTGAAAAGCACTGCTCCCTGGCACATGCAGGGACCCTCCCCTAAGCTTGCTCAGGGTGCCCTGGGATCCACCTCTGCTGCATTTTCCAGAGATTCCCTGGCCACTTTGCTACTGAGTATTGACTTTTTGTGGTTTTCTCTGCTAGAGTGGGTGATACTTGCAGAAATAGAGCAGAATGTCACTAGTTTGTTCTTTGTTAATTCTCTATTTGTCAAATCTGATGGAGAGGCTAACCAAGGATTTCTAGATAAGTATTAGATGAAATAAAATTTCAGGGGTGCTGTTTGAAGCATGCAAGAGCACATGGTTTTCCAGCACTTTGTGATTGTTTACCAGTAGGCTTATTGCTAACTATCCTTATCCATCCATGAAATCAAATCCTTCACAGTCTCTGCTAGGCAACACTGGATTAGTCTTTTGTGAACTTCAGTGTGTACTTGATGGCGGTGAGAAAACTAACTCATCGTGGCCTTTCTCAGACAAATTAGTAAGATTTACCTTTATGTGTCTTCTTATTTTTCAAAGAGGTGCAGTTGGGTTCTGGGATAGATCATTTTCTAATAATACAGACCTCTGTGAAACAATATTTTTATAGCTGAAAAGAAATTTTTATTCTTTGATGAGAATGATTGGTTTAGAAGCTCTCTGAATATAAATGCCAGTGTGTTACCATTCTGAGCTTCTATCAGAAGTAGACATTGTAGACATTAAAAAAAAAATAGACATTTATTGTTTTAAACTCAATCTGACAAAATCATATTGAGCTTTGGAAATAATTGAAATTCATATAAAAAATTGGAAATTGAATAAAAATATCATGAAAAAATTTAAGGTGGTACTAAAAGTTTATTTTAAGCATCAATTAAAATAGTATACAGGAAAGCATTAAACATCTTTTGAAATGAAATTTGGATATTTTATGGCAGTCTTTGTGAAATTGGGAAAACATGGTATTTTTTATGAAATGCTAATGTCAGCAAATAGTTGACTTCCAGGTTAGAATGGCAAATTGGGATGACAATTATCTTGCATTATATATTCTTTGTATATAACACTCATATTTCTAAATTGCATTTGTTTCCACAGTCAGAAAGCTTCTTCACTGCCTCCTATTGTAGGATCCAGAAAGTCTAAAGGGAGTGTAAGTATCAGATGATTTACTCATTAATGTTCTATATCTCTATATAATACAGAGAGACTGTCCTTTGGGTTTCAATTAAATTTGAAGAAATAAAACTTAGACTCCTTAGTATGTAAGCAATTATATGAAACAACACTAGAACATTGGTGTTACAATTAAGGTCTTAAAAGAGAGCTAACATTTTTAAAATATGGATTTTAAAATAGGTATCTTTTGTCCCGTGAATAATCTGATATAATTTATATCACGGTTGCAGTCTAGGCACTAGTACATAAAATGCTGTGGTAGGTCACATCTGTGGTTGACCCAGTCTTGTTCTCTGTCTCTGACAAAGACTAGACAAGAAATTTTTGTAAGAGAATGGTAATCTTCAGTTATAGTCCTTTAAAAGATTGAGAATCATTCCAAATATTTAATTCCCTATAAGAATCTTTTCCATCAGTCATTCATTTGATTGTTAATTCAGCAAACGTCTATCAAATACCTGTTATTGTGGGAACTGTGACCAGCACTTAGTAGGCAATTTTTTAACTTCTTTGTATTTTCTGTCTATACTTCTCATGGAGATGAATTTTATGTCATGCTGGAGTAATGCTCTGACAGTTGTTTTTTCTGGCTGAGGCTTCTCTTTCCTCTTTCTACCTTTTTGATTGAATTGCCAGGCCAGTAGGGATCAGAATTATTTGACATTTCCCCTTCTTGAATTAACTAAGCAAAATTCCTGTATTGATGTTTTGTGAAAGAAATGACTGCTGGGCAATGATATCTCTTTGGTTATATCATGTGAAATTCTCAAAAAAAAGAAAAATAATTTTTCATGAGGACATGCTGAACTCAGCATAACAAACAACAGACATTTATTACTCACCCATTCACTGAGACTCTCATGCTATTTATGACAAAGCTCTCGACCTTACAATCTCATTGAAATACAGAAGATAGCTTGAAAAGGTAACTAACGAGCTATGGTGAGATTGGTAAACATGAGAGAGACGGAAGGAATTGATATGCTTTGGCCAATGTACATGGAGGAAGTTGAATCTGAGCTATGCCTTTGAGAACTGTTTAGGTTTCAGGCAAAGGTCAGTGAGGGGAGAGGGGTTTCAGACAGAAGGGATGGCGTGAGGAAAGGAGATGAGCTCTCAGAGAAGCAATAATGCTGGCTGATATTTAGTGAACACTTGAAGGCTCAACATTATGTCAGTGTCTTTACAGACATGATTTATTTCATCCTCACCTCCCGAGGCAGGTACTGTTGTTATTTCATTTAAAAATGAGAAAAAGAAACACAGACAGTGGGAGCAGCATGTCCAAAGCCTACTGTTGAGCAAAAAGCAGGGAAAGGATTGAGTCTAGATGGCCTGCCTGGAGGGAGCTCGTGCTCCTGACTCCAGGATCAGTGAGTCCCTCAGGATGACTGGAACAGAGGGTACATCATAGTGTGGATGCTGATGTGCCTAAATGGTAGGTGGTGGCAGTTTTAGATGACCTTGAATGTCAGAATGAAGAGTCTGGTCTTTATTTTTGAGTAGAGGGCAGCTCATGAGGGCTTCTGAGAGACAAGACTTGTTAATACAATTCCATTCTAGGAAAGTCAGATAGTCAGATCTTTTGTGCGGAGAAAGACTTAACATGGTTGAGAGACCATAAAACATCAGTTATGCAGCAATTGCAAGCAGTAACCTTGGTACGAAGTGATAAGAGCCTAGACTGGGGAAGGTGGTAGAGGTAGCGGGAGATGATTGATTACTGCTTGTGAAAAAATGAGAGACTTGCTTGGTGATTGGATGCATGTGGTTAATGGAGAGGTTGAAACCAAAGACAACTGCAAGTCTTTGAGCTTGAATGCCTGAGAGAATGGTGGTATCATGGCCAAAAAGAAGGCAGTCAGAAGAAATAATGACCTGACTGATTTCGAACATTAAGTTGGAAGTGTCATCATGAAATCTAGCAGAAAGTGTTTGGCAAGCAGTTATAAATGGTGGAGTCAGAGGCCTGATGTGGACATCAGATACAGAATTCCAAGTTCCTCTACATAACGGTCATAGTTGAAGAGCAGACACCTGTCCTTGTAGTGTTTCCTCGTAGCACTCAGCACAGCCTGACAGGGAGCAGGCCTCATCATGCTGTTGAGTGAGACGATGGGTGAGTGGGAGCTTGGAAATGAGCAAAAAGACACAGTGCTTTCTCTTTGTTCATGGTCTACTTGGAAGACTGAGGTTAAACAAATGATTCCACAAATCTATATATAATTACAGAGTGTGATGAAAATGAAAGAAAAGTACAGAGCAATATGAGAAACAGTGAAGGAGAACTAGTTATGTCAGGAAAGGCCTCCTTGAGGAAATTACCTTTAAAGAAATAGTTTCATTTCTTGAAAAGTAAAGACTCAAAATTACATTTCTATGCTGTGACTTAGAAAAATAGAAAGATAGCAGAGTTTGTCCCTCTTTCCACAGTGCTCCCAAAGCATTCTGTATATTCATCATTCTATTTATTTATGTGCTCATTCAGTCATCCATTCAACAAATATTTGTTGAATTCTTACTAAGTACCAGGAACTACTCTAAGCAGCTAGCAATTAGTGGTGAACAAACAGACAAGGTTTCAGACCTGACGAAATTTTCATTCTAGTGTCCGTGGAGTGGGGAGGGTAGAAGAATGGGGGTAGACAGACGATCAACCTTTAGACAAATATATAAATAATTCTCTGAAAATGAGAATTGAATGGTGGAGCCAGTCATACAAGATTGGGGCAGGGGAGAAAAGAGCCTCCACAGCAGAACAAACAGTCACGAAGGCCCTTGGTAAAGAGCTTGGCCTGTGAGGAGGGCGGAAAGAAAGCCATCATGGTCTGAGATGAAATCGTGCAGGTGGACTTGATCCTGAGGCTATAAAAAGAGTTTGCATTTTATTCCTTGATGGGACACCATCTGAGGTTAGAATAAGAGCGTGATATCATTTAATTTACATTTTTAAAAGCTCATTCTGGCTGTGATGTCTATGGAGAAGTGGGTTGGGGCAAGAATAGAAGCAAAAGGCTGTGGGACAGCTAGAGTCTAGGCATGTGACATAAGTGACTTGGACCAGTGGCAGCAGGGAGATAGACATCTATGATAATTATTCTTTGAGTATAAATGTTGTCATTGATTGACGTGTTCATCCAACAGTCATTTATTGAGTGCATATTATGTCCTAAGCACTGTTTTAGTGCTTGGCGGGGAAGGGGAGGGCAGAGATTCCAGAAAAAATACTACATGTATGGAGCTTACATTCTGGAGAAGGAGAAAGACAAATATACAATACAGTTGCTATTAATCAGGGAGAAGCTTGAAGAAAAATACTACGAGATATGGGAAGAGAAAGTGAGAGAGAGTACTGTATTATCTGGGTGGTTAGGGTAGGCCTCTTTTAGAAGATCTCATTTCAGCAGAGGAAATCCACTTGGGACACGGTAGGTTGTCACAATCTGTTTAGTGGACATGGGCATGACTGGCTGTGAGCTACACAGAGAGAACATCTCATGTCATAATTCCAAAGTCGCAAACTCAATTTTAAGGTAAAGATTAATTTACTCTTTTCCTTTAATTAATTGGTTCCCTGGAGAATGTACATGTTTTTAAGATCATGAACTACTTAGCACTGAGTTGGGGGGAAGAAGGGGGTGCAAGTAAGTGAGACTATGAGAGCTTAAAACTTGGGGAACCACTGCAAAATCAATGGAGAAAGCATCCCCAAACTCATGATATAAATCAAAGGGGACACAGAACTGGATTTTTAGGAATTCATGTTTCCACACAGCTTTCTAGGAAATATTGCTTTATTCTATAATGAAAGAGAGTATAGGTGAAGGCCTGAAAGAACCAAAAAGAGAGAGAGAGAGAGAGAGAGAGCGAGAGAGACAGAGAGACAATTGCCATAGCCTGCACAGGGGACCCCTGCTGGTGCATCAGTGATTTAGTGAGCCAGGTCGCACCCTTGTGGTAGGGAGTTTGGAGAATGAGGGTTTCTGGGAGCCAAGCAGACCCTTTCAATTCAGCCAAGGAATATCTTGTGTAGAGTAGGACAAGACCTGATACAGACTCCAAGTGCTGGGAGAGTCACAGAAATTAGCAAATTGTGAATAATTTTAAGTTGCGATTCTAACCTTGAAAACAGAATGAAAATATAAGTGAATCAATCGTCTTAAGTTTTATTAAGTTTGAGAAATAAACCCATCGGGGGATGCTGTTCTTTAGCAGCGAGGTCACTCCACATAGAATCAAAGCGCCCTCTAGTGGGAGATGTGCAAAATCAGAGAGGTATTTCAAAGTTAAAGCCCAGGACTAAGTTGTCTTTTGTGGTTCATATCACCATGTAGCTAAGACATTTTGTGATTGGTAATTTGCAGATTCAAATATTATAATTGCTGAGTTTCTGGTAAAAAGTGGCATGATTCTCCACATATCACAGAGTTACTGTGAAGCAAGATAAATTCCGAATGCTCCCCAAACTCCATTTGCCTTGTGGGGAAACTGAGTCCAGCATGGATGCAAGGCTTTCTCCTGCTTGCTCTCACCAGACACACCAGTGAGAGCAATGCCAGCCTGCGCTGGGTCTGGTCCCTGCTCTTCAGTCTCCTTCCCTGGCACATCACTGATATACCCACATGGAGAAGGCTGCTCTGGGAGGCAAAGCCCTCACAGAACTATTTTAAACTTGCTGTTTTATGGCCAATGTCTCTTTGACATGTTTTCATGGGGGTTAGAAATGGGTTTCTGTGGTAATAAGGAATCCTAAGTTGATTGGATCTTGTTGGAAACTGCCTTGAGAACTATTTAAAAATCCCAATTTCAAGGCAGTGAGGGGTGATTGGAGAACTCTTTTTAGTATGTTTGTTTGAGCCAGAGGATTGCTTTTCCTACCAGATACACTGAGAGATGTGTAAGGGGAAAGGCAGGACAGTAGTTTTAAGTATCGCCAGGGTCTAATTTCTGCACAGGACGTGCTGTAAAATTAGG